AATAAAATAAATTATTAATATTCAAATAAATTATTTAAAACTTAAAGAAAATTCAGAGAAATATAAATTAATAATGACAAAAATTTAATTAAAATATTATATATAATTAAATACTTATTAAAGTTTATTATTAATGAATTCAAATTGAACAAGTAAAATAACAAATATATATTTCTTCCATTTATTTAACAGAAAGAAATTAAAGTACTTATAAAGAAAGATGAAAATATTTAGGAATCTAATCATTTGTTTATTTTGATTGTCTAAAAATAACCTCGATAATAAAATACAAGTAAATCGCAATTCATGTAAATTATTTATTTCCTTTCTTTTTAATCGATCTATGATTGCGCATACTTAGAATAATCGGAAAGGATAATCTCACATCGCGAAATACATTATTATATAGTTTGATAGTGAGGTATAAAATGTATCGAAGTTAATCCAATATGTGTGTTTCCTCGACCGGTTCGAGACGCATTTACGCGGATACATTTACTTCGAACAAACCGTAACAACCGGTTTGCAGGCGATACCAGAAGAAGAGCAAAAGAACGGGATTATATACGTCGATCGGCTTACGAGATAACGTGATCGTTGCGTTGCATGCGTATCGTTGACGAGATCTCAAGATTTTCACATTGGCAAGATTAAGAAAAGAAAGCGCGATTTTCGATAATAGCACGATTCCTTTAATTGTTATAACAATAAATTTTGAAATGTCCGTGTGCTCTATATACACACTTCTCGTAGTATAATTATATTTTTTCGATTTATCTTTGTTACGTATTTAATTAGAATTTTTTTACATCTCTTTAACCGAGGAAAGGAAATTGTAGATTGTCGACATAATGAAAGTTGGAAAACGATGAGGCAGTAAAAGTACAACGTTTCTCTAACGAATTTCATAGTATTGTGAAGTAATTATGCGAAAGGAAAAAGAAAGTGGGAAGTATTCCGTGTTAAAAAGTATTCCACGTTATACAATTTAAAGCGAGAATGCGCAGATCTTATAAGATAAAAAATACATGTAAACGTTTATTTTGTAGATTTAGATTCTCACTTATAAACTTGATTATAAACCACTTCTAGATATTTTTAGATAGTTTTCACTAGAAATATATCGTTCCTAAAATTATTCTTAAAGATACTAGTCTTCCAAGTAGTTGTAAACACGTAATATATTTCTGCAGTTTTTCTTCGTGCAAACAAGAATGTAAATATAAAAAAATGCGCTTGTAATTAAAAAAAATAATTACTTAAAACAGTATATTTTAACTACACAGAAAAAAGGACATTCTTGTTTTGAAAATATATTTAGTCTTAACATGGAAATCTTGAAATGAGATTATATTACGTTAATTAAAGAAAAATATAATTGTTTGAATAATTGTTTACTTGAATGATGCCATTTTATATAGTTCAATCAAGAAAAATATTTTCCTATGATTTTAAGATTTAATTTTCTTGAATGGAAAAAAAACAATGTTAGATAGAAAATAACATTTTTAAATCAAAGATTATAATTTTCTTAAAGTAGAATTAAATAATTATATATTCTTGATGTGACAATTAGAATATTAAAATAAGACTATAATATTGAAATTTAAAATTATTAAATTCTTCTAAGAAGATTATAAATTGTTGCGTATATACGAAACAATGAACGCCTTAATTCTGTGTATATAACAATATTAAATTAAATAAATTGATAAAGAATACGGCTCTATGTATTTAACAACATGATAATTATGAAACGAGCGATAAGAGCCTAAAAACGCGGATGGTAATGCGTAATTTTTTGTTTTTTTTTTTTAAATATCTTGTGCACGTCTTAAAAAAATTTTTTCGCGAACAATTAATGTTTGAAAAAGGCTCTTATCGCTCGTTTCATAATTATCATAATATTAAATTAAATTATTTAATATTTAATTAATAATATTAAATTAATTTATTTAATATTAAATGATTTAATTAAGTATTATTATATTAAATTATTTAATATTACATTATTTAATAAATATCTTCTCATACAGAGAAATTTTAATATGCGCGAGTATCTTTTTGTCCGATGCACAAAGCGACGACACTCGTTAAAAAATACAGCGAGTGACTCATGGAAAAATCTTATACGATGTTCGTCGCTTCCACTTGTTATTATCGTTTCTCATACCTCACAATATAGTCAGTCTTTGTCTAGAGACTATTTTCGCCCATTCTGGAGAGCATAATAGCGCTTTATTATTCACTCACGTTCAACTTTATCGATAACATCTCGAATTCGTACGATTTTGCGAGAATCATTCGCGTGATTGATGTTACGATTGCTTAGTGAAATTGCTAATCTTTTCCGCGATAACATCCATTTGCTTTTCATGCAACGATAAAATGTGCAAACAGGAGGCTTTGCGCTGATTATCGATCATACTTCTAACAAAGGGACGATTCAAGAAGATGTATTTCTATTGCAAAAGCCTATCGTGCCTCTTAGAGCCTACCATGCCTTTTAGATGCATAATATTTCGAAATGAAATATTTCGCATTTCGTCCTTTGTATAGACCTTCCACTTTATACAGACTTATAAAAAAATGAAACAAATAAAAAAATGACAACAATTTACACGATAATAGCGATTTAAAAACAATCACTTTAAAAATGTAAAGATCATTTAAAAAATATGTATCTTTTTATATTGAAACTACTATATCTTTTTTTACATTGAAACAACTATATTTTCTTTTACATTGAAAAGAAATATAATTAAAGAATCAGATTTATATATGAGAAGAAAAAATATATTTAAAAGCGTAATAAAATAAAATGTAATTAAAAAATTATGTGTGAAAAACGTTTCTCATTACATATCAATTAATCATCATTCAAAATAAGTCATATGATTTTACACGAAGTTATCAAGATTATCAGAGACACGTCTTTTAATCTATCTGATAAAATTATCATTGATTCTGCAAAGATCGCAAAATTACTCCGAAAATTTCCATTGGGAAAAAATTTCTCTCTACTTCAAGTTCAACCAGGAATTGGAGAGCTCGCTGCTCTATTTTTTATGAATGTGAGAGAATTAATTTAAATAACCTTTGAGAATAAATTCGTTGAAAAGTAGGTCGAGCATCGGCTTGAGATTTCTCGAAAATTGGTACCTGATTTATTTATCCATACACGCTGTGCGAAAGTCATCACAAGCAATCACGAGGAAACAATGTCGTGAACCTTGTCGTGCAACCTTTCAATATCTTTCTCAAGAAATCGAGATGTACGCGTGAGAAAAGGAAATTTCGATAATTATATATCGTGTAAAACGCGGACATGTACGAATGTGCGTGGCACACAAATGCTGCATCGTCGAAACTCTCATGAATATACTCGTATGAATAGTTATGGGATAACACGTCGCATTTGCATGCAAATTGTTTCAACTCGCGGTTCTCATAGGTGCGATTCCACAACGGCTGTACACATAATGTGAAAATACCGCATTTGTTCAATACGCAACACTTCTTCTATTTATATTCCCGCGAACACGTTGCTTTTTACTTTACATGTGAATCGTGCAAGAAGAATAAATTAAACGACGTCGTTATTATATAAATCCAAATAAATTTAACCCAGATAAATTTTATTTCATCTCGTTTAGAAATGTACATCGCGTGTATTATAATAAATATAAAATTTTATAAAAGAAAATTTAAAACGAAATTTAAATATGAACATTATATTAAGGAAAGAAATAATTTAATAAAATGTAAAAAGATTTTATATAAAATGGATATATTATATAAAATATTTTAAAAGTAATTTATACACAAAAATATGTAAAAAAAAATTTTTTAATTCTTAATTTTTTATTATCCGCTTTAAACAGACAATATTAATTTTTCTTAATTCAGAGTTATTGCATATTGCGTAATATCGAAAGTCAGCCGAATAAAAGTCTTCGAAAGATATATGTACGGATTTGTTCGTCTTGTGTAACTGGGACATAGTAAAAGAGAGAAAGAAAGACAGAAGGAGGGAAAGAGAAAAAGCGAGAGGGATTCTAGCATCGGATGCAAATCTTTGTGCTATTCGGCATACGTGGTAATTCGCGAATAGCAGAAAGGACAGGGCGCTAATAGAGTCAGTGATCCGAAGACCTTGTATAAAACCATTCAAACCATTCGATAAAACCAGTTGCGCATCATTGCTATAGTCAAATATGCCATGTTATATCAAGTCAGAAAGGTCTTAAGTCAATCGATAATACCTTCTCATCATCTTCTCAAGATATTTAACAAAAAGTTCGAGAAAATTATGAGAATTATTTCCATTATTATAAGAAAAAGAGATTCTAAGTCTTTTTCTCTCTGCAAAATACTTCTACAAAATTTATTCAGTTTATTATTTCAAAAATAATCCAAATAATTTAAAAGTAACTAGTAACTTAAAAAATCGAGGAATAAGTGTTCATTAATAAATATTAAATAAAAGTATATTCATAAATAAATATTCATTACTTTGGCAATCAACAGATTGTAGGAGGAAACAGATTAGATATTTAAATGACACTCATCCTGTGGAGAGAACTTCATGGGAAACGCGCGACAAGCGGAGCACAAAGCTATTTTGCTTCAAGAGCGACCGTACGTAATCTTCAAGTTAAACATCTCTCTCTGTTAACTTTATAACAGTTAAAACTTTGCCCCTGTTTTATGAGAACACGACTACTGCTCACGCATTATGCGGAATGTTCTTGTCAAAAGATAAAAAAATAATACGAAGGCAAAACAGTGTCAATATGGCACAAGTTTTCTGACAAAAAATTCGATCGCGTTAGGTATACTTCTAGGACGCTTATGACAGCTATGACTATAACGCGATAAAATGAGGATGAATATACGTAGTTATGCATACAATGTGCGGATAAATGCGCACGTGGTTTTCTATAGCTATGTCAAATCGCACAGAGAGTACGTAGCAAAGAATTGATTACGAAACTGACCTTGTTGCAGTTGTAATTTATATACACGCCTTTGAGTTCATCTTCAGTCGACAGTTCCGTGTTTGGGCTGTTCGGCGGGCTCTTCGGGCTGCAAATGAAAGAAAACAATATGTTATAATTATAATAGCATAGATAGATGTGAACGATTATTTTCCACCCCGAAATTCTTTCGACCGCGAAATCGTTATTAATTATACTTATTTGTTTAATCAATATTTCTCGATGCTTATTTTAATTTTATTAATGTGTATTCAATCTAAAATTTGATTTATATCTGTATTTCCATATTATTATCTGTATTTGGTATCTTTTTATTTCACCCATATCAGATTTTTGCAAGAAATATCAATCTATTTCGAAAATTATATACATTATATAAAAAATATTTTAAGAATTAAAATAATTCTAATTCATTTAGTGTTGATTTTAAATATTTTAAAAATCAAGTTTCTCTGAATAAATATAAAATCAGTTTTAATTTCTTAGGGAGAATTTATGTATAATATTTTTACAATGTAAAAGAAATTGATTTTATATTTGGTTTTGATATTTTATTTTTTAATATTTTTTTAGGAAAATTATTTGTTGAGGTTTTGTTTTTTTAGAAAAGGGATTTTGTGAGAGAAAATTATTGTAAATTATTTTTAAGGACTTTTTTTATTAAAAACTTTGTTGCAAGGTAGAATATTTTTTATGTACTTGGCGTATTTTTTTTACCTTTCTAAAGTTTTAATCTATTTCGAGAATTTGATATAACAATTATGATAGTCGTCGACATATTTTTTTTAGATACTCGAGAAACGTTAAATATAATTAAATCATAATTCCAATAGTGAAATATTTTTTATAGAATATAAAAGATAGAGAGAATTTTAGAAACAAGGTCAGTTTCATAATTGTTGCATCGAGTAAACGTGAAGTGTGTTAAAAACAAAGTATTTGATGATGGCTCAACAATATGGGCAATATTGTTGAAACAGTTAATAAATTTCTGAAGACTTACGTAACCTGAATATATTACATCATTATATATATCTTTTAATTTGATGTTAATTCTAGAGCGCAGAATATACACATTTTTTCCATCCAATGTTTTCTTTCTATACAATTGATTATTAGATTTACTGAAGTGTCGATGTCGCTTATCGCGCGTTATGAATATAACGTCGACAGCGCGATAAGACGCATTAAAAAATAAACTACGATAAATATGTCGCCTTGGAAGTCGCGACCCCCCACATACATGATTATTGGATTGCGTCGCGAAATCGATCGAGCCCACTCGAGACTTGCGATCCCCCGCAATTATCCTTGAAGTTTGTCACCGATATCGCGACTACAAGGAAAACTTTGGCCCGTTATCGCCGAGATGCATCGCGACAAAAGGCTCCATCGATATCCCTATGATAGTGCACTTATGTTAAATGCGTCGTACGATATCTATGTACACATACCGTTATCCGGTTCTTTTTATGGATTTTTTTTTCGCTCCCTCTCGATAAGCCATCATCGTTTAAATATCTCGCGATCGCTCGAATATCTTGTCTGTTTGATGACTTGTCTTAATATAATCTAAGGCGTGGATTGTACGTAATATTTAATAATTTATTAAATTAATATACGGAGAACAAAGTTCCCCTGATAAATTTTTAAGAGATAGACTGCAAGAGATGCTAGATAATATGTTGAAAAAAATCATATCTAGATATGTTTAAAAAAATAGTATATAAAAAATATTTATCTATAATTTAAAAATTCATTTTCTTCTATATTTATTTCGAGATAGTAAACTCAGAAAAGATTTTTCAAGAGGAGGATATCACTTTTTTTTCATTCTTGTAAGATTAAATTAATCAATTCTAGTCGCAAACGTTACGTTTTATCGTGACAGATTTTTTTCAATAATAAACACCAAAATTTGTTTCTTTGTATCTTGAATATTTAATGTTTGTGTGTTAAAAACATTTGTTAAATCGATGTTGATTTCCTGCCCAAAAGTTTTTCGTCGCTCATAAGGAAACCGGTAGCGACTGCTAAAATATTTGCGAAATACATGCAAATAAAGCAGCGAGAAGCGGATTAATCGTATACTGCGCGACACGTGTCGTTCGTAACGTTCGAGATTTAAGAGAATATTCACTATGCTGCGCAGATATTGTCAATAACAGGATCGCGGCGATTTTAACGCTCGAGATAACGTTACATGGAAAATATAGCGGCCATATAGATGCAAATCGACTTGTCACTTTACTTTAACACCGCGTGCAACGTCAGTTTATTTTGATACCGCGTACATTTTTCGATTTAAAATTCCTCGCGTATTTTCTCCTTTCTTTCTTTGTCGGAAAATATACGTCTAAACTATTTTCGGTAGGTTCAGAGACTTTGTACTCTGTACAAAGATATATTAAGAAATACATGCATTTCTTTGTTTCTTCGCACAAAGCATCGCCTTTGTTCTTCTGCCAAGATATTTGTGTCAATGACACAAATTCTCTCTAATCATGTTAAGAGCCACATGTTAATTTTGTTCTGAATATCGAGACAACAAAAGTAAAAATATAAATGTTTATATTTGTAACTATAAGTTCTCACTCTTTATGCGATGTCTTTATTTTCGACCGTGGATGAGAATCGATTTGATTCCGATTGGAAAGTGCACACAAGCATAGATAAAAATAAAATCAATAATCATGCATCGATCAAATTCTGTTGTATTTGAACTGAAAAATTTATACTAAAGGAGAGACGCGATTTTGTAGCAGAAAAATATAGACTACAAATCTCTTTCGATCTCTTGCATATTAAAATAAAAAAAAGATTAAAATAATATAAAGAATTATAAAATTTAATATAATATTAAAATAATTTTTTCTAATTAAATTTAAAAGATTTATATTAAATTTTAAAAAATATTATAATTTAATATATACACTGCAATGTATTAATGAGATTTAAATTAGTTTTCTTAATTTATATATTTCATGTCTGTTATGGAGTAATTATCGCAATTGCACAATTATTTTTAATCGAGCGTTAATCATCAACGATAAAGTCCAAAAAACAACTTCCGCTTTAAGGCCATTTGAAATCATTTTCGCGATTCGCTAAAAAGTAATCGCGGTCGCGATATAACCAGTGAGTTACGCGTCTTATCTTTTCCGCTCTTATCTATTTCTGGTTTCGAGGAATATCTATGTGTGTGGTACGAATCGCCTGGACTCTGACTTATCCCCGCGACACAACGCTTACTTTCTTACTGCTAAACCCTTTTCAAAGGACAAAAAAGACACGTAGCAGACTTTTTCTCTTGTGTTTCTTGCGTATGAGATGAATCAGAGACGAGTAGATATATAAGTATCTGGTTGAACGGCCGGCTTTGTTAGTCGAGTCTTCAAGCAACGAATACAAGAATCTACTATGTCGTCCACAAGACGTGCTGAGACTCTCAAACACCTCTTTTGAAACCTCGATAAAGCAACTGGACTGTCCACGTTTATAATCGAATGTTGGAAAGTTCTCTAATATCCTCTAGTAGGATACCACTTTAGAGACGTTATAAAAATGTATTTATGTATCAGAGAACTTTTCAACCTTCGAAATCGGAGCGATACTCGAAATAAAATTTTCAGAATGTTGTGGAAAAGTGTCTGCTGATCCGGTCAAACTCGAGTTTTTCTTACCTGTCCCTTGGAGTATCCCGGCGCGAGGACGCCAAGGAATGCTTCGCCGATGAATGTGTGGAATCTCTCTGTGCTTCTCGGAGAAGTCGCAGGTATTCGCGTTCGCCGGTGACGCTGAAAGGTGTCGGCGTTATTCGGGCAGCTAACGGCGGGTCCGGCACAAGCTCCACCCATGATTCTACGCAATTAAAAAGAAAAAAATCTGTTATTTTATGTTTTGTGCTCGTCTGTCTGACTATATTCCTACAGGTTTTCCGGTGGGTTCTCACGTTGCAGCAATTATTCACGGTACCGGTAGTAATAATTTATGATTTCCGCACGCAAGCAATGCATTAAAATTTAAAATTTTACCTCGCATGGAATAAAAGCATAAAAATAAATAACAGTTAATGATTTTATCAATCTATCAATTATTTATATTCGTTATTATTAATTTATTTTATTAATTTATTTGTTTCATTTATATTATTTATTGTATTTTATAAATTTATTTGTTTCATTAATATTATTGTTGAAATTTTTAGACATTTTTTACATTCTTATTGAATTTAACGACGTGTCATTACATAACTTTTCATTTTAATTAAATTTTAATACTAAAATATTTAATTTTGAAATTTATTTCTAATATTTAAAATATGTGCGATTTTGTGAAAAGTTTTTAACACGATAGTGAAAATATATATTCGATATATAATGTATAGAGAATGAGAGTCGTTGAACGATATACACGATGACATATTGTAACATCTTTAAAAATAGAAATACCGGCCATCGTATCGATTAGAGTAACCCTACGAGGTCAAGTTGAAGGGAAATTTCATAAATAATATATCGTCGAGACTTATTTTCCGTATTGATCCATTATATGTAATCAATATTGATTTTTATTACGTATAATATAGATCTTTATGTAAATAAAATTATTAGAAACATAAAATAAATTTAATAATTCAATAATTTAATTTTTAGTATAAAGATAATGAAAAGAGATATTACAAAATTTAGAAAAAATTATACACAATAATCTAAAAAAATAATAATTACATATTTAAAATTTTTCTAAAATATATGTAAATTTATATCACACATATGTTTTAATATATATAATCATTATTTCAATATTCTTTTATTTTTTCAATCGTTTTCTTTTATAAAGATAACTAGAAGATAACCAGATAATCAGAATGCATGAGTCATGATTTTCATCATGTAGAATGTTAACAAGTAAAAACGTGATTAAATATGATTTTATCAATGTCATTACATATACAATAAGTTTTTCAGCTTTGTTCCTTTTACGTAAGCAATATAATATCAAAATAAAATTCTAATAATAAATAACTGTCATGTCGAATCATCGTTCCACTAGAACAATATCATTTTTTTACATGTTAAGAAAAATGTTCAGTGTACATAATAATATAAATGGCGGTAAATCATGCGCGATTCTGATGTTCTTTCTTTCATTAAACAAAGTACAGATTAGCTCGATCGATTTTCTTATTTTATAAATTAAAATTTCTAATTAAGTTTATTAATAAGTTTCTTAATCAATAAAGTGCTTTGTTACAATGAAATCAGAGATTTACATCATAGAATAAAAACATCGTTACTTTAATAATAATAATATAATAGTCGAAATAATATAATTATGGAATTAGGTATTTCTTTTTCTGTAAAGAAAATTTTTCGTGAAGAAAATAATATAAAAATCATATTCTGCAATTTTTATAAATTGACTATATATATATATATATATATATATATATATATATATATATATAATAAATTTATGGCCATTAACATTGACGTATCAAGACAAATCAAGACTCATTGATGTAAGTAGCATGAGTAATCAATTGTTATAGTTATATATACAGCACGATTGAACTGTTGATTCAATGACGTAAAATAGAGATCGTTATTATATTGAAAAACTTTCTCTTGCAAACTATGCGTATGATCAATATCCGTTTTGATTATGAATTATATAACGAAAAATTTAATTGTATATTTTTGTACGATCAGGAATCATAAAACGTATCTGCATTTCTAGTAGCAATTTTTTTCTTTTCCAAACTATAAATTTTGCAATTCATAAGAGCCGCACATTGAAATTATCATATTGAGTATGCCAATGAAAAAAATACACATTTACTTTTCGTTGTTCAGTCGAGGAGAAAATAAAAACTAAATATTCGTCGAATTTCAAAATAAAATTTTATATTTATTAGTGGTTATAAAATTGAATAATAAAATAGATAAAATCAAAATAATATAAAATTGAATTCTCTCTAATAGCAATTTTGGAAATCTATATTTACGAATATAAATAAATATCGAATTACGAATATAAATAAATTATGAATATATTAATTATATATCATTATTTTTATGTGAATGAATTGATTCTCTACATCATTAATAACGTACATTCCGTTAAAATTGTCACCTGTAAAGTAACGTGTATGTAAAACATCCGCGATTATGAATTCTGCTAATGTAGTCAGATAGTAAGGGTGAACTCATCGCTGATGAAATCTCGAGTTCATCTACCGTCGCTGCGATAATTTCCTAACTACATAACAGATATGAATTTATATTCCGCGCTTCAACGCATTTGATTTCCATAATTACAAAACTATTGTGCAAATAATGTACAAAAAAATAATACACGCTATTATTTTATATCCTGTATTTAACGAGTTAGCAAATTTTTCATAGAAATAATTATTAATTAGTCAATTAATTATTAAATTAATATAATTATAGTCAATTAGATTTTCTTTAATAAGCCAGTTGATTTCAATTTCGTTCATCAATCATGATTCAGCTGTCAGGGATATACATTAGAATTATCATCGCCACCATTTTATTGATGATTCAATAAATTCCATTTTAAGACGCGGCTCGATATATTTATGTTAATCGCTAATTATGTATCACAATATGTGCACTTGAGATTAATCAATTGCACATCGATGCGTTGAAGAAAGAAAATTATTGCGCCATTTGAAAACTAACGATACAATCGGGAAGAGAAAACAGAAATGTCGATTAAATGCGATTTATCAATCGCGACGTTCCATTCGTCGGGTTTATACGTGCACTCTTACGCGTCATGTGTAACGCACGTGACATCTGCGATGTGTTGGTGTCGAGCGATTATTGCCACCGCTCTTTCAGCCGCGCAAATCATCCGGGCGGTAAGGTTTACTTCGAGTTCGTTCACCTATTCGTAAATCACATCGCGAGGGACATTTACGCTCGATCTGACGCATCGATATCTCAGACTACAAATTGAACTGAACTCGCTCTAATAAAATATATCTCGAAGAGCGCGATTTTTTTGGAAAAATCATTGCTACCCCAAACAATAATTTTCCAAAACTTCCCTTAAAGAAAAAATACATGAGATAATGAACGAGATTTTATTACGTACATCAATCTATTTTTTTATACGCGAGACACTCTAATGACAATTTTTTTTGTCAGTGGCGAAATAATCGTCGGCATGGAAAGCTGAACAATAAATTTGTCACGCACGAAATTCGCGATTACACGACGAATCTGTCACGCGATTCTTATTTCCGACTATTCAAGCACGTATGCGATTAATGTTCTTGCAAGGATACAAATTGTAAAAATGAATGGTTACGATGCGACTATACATATAAGTGTCGCTCTGTAATTTAATCTACGTCAGCGTATTAATGCATTAAAACCGCAAATCAAGTTTCTCAAGTTGAGTAACAACAAGACATCTTGTTGTTACTAAGAACAATAATGCATCATTTTTTAATTATGTCGATTGCTATTAGTTCATTATTTTTTAATTAAATTATTTTTAATATTTTTAGGAGGCAAGAAAAATATTTTTCTCCCGACACAAGAAATTTCCGCTAGAGTATGCAAGCTCGTGAACAATGGCAGTCAATGACAAGTAGAAGCGACCGCTTTCACATAGATAGATGCGTTACGTCGAGTCGCATTGTTGATTCAACAAAGATACGTGCGATAATATCGAAAATATGATATCGAGCGAGGTCATCAGAAAATGGAAAGAAAATCTATTGGCCAAGCATGTGCGCCGAGCTTGACACATAAATTTTTTATTAACCACGCATTCTGCTTATTGAATGAAAAATGTCATTCTTTAAAAAATATATATGATACGAATTCCAATATAAATATTTACAATATAATTATTTACAAGAAAATTTAAAAATCATTACATTTATATAAATCTTCATTGCTTGTAACAACAATAATTACGTTCATAATCGACGCCATAAAAAATTAGCACCTTGAAAAAATGATCGATAAAAAAAGTAAGATAATAAGCAGCAAATATATATAATATTTATAAATCTCTAGTAATTTTCACATTAAATAAAAAAGCTGGTAACTAATGATATTCGACTTAATTTAATCTGATATTTTATATCGGTATCAAATTTATCAAGACACATTATACAACGCGTAAAACAAGAAAACAATCAATACACGCGGGCAGAATATCTTGTTTCCCGTCGATGTCGACTCTTGTGCAAAATCGCAGTCTGTAAAAAATTTGCGTCGTTTAATTCAGCAAACATCCTCCATATCGTTCAAGTTGATAGCGTCTAGTCATTATGCCTAAATCCGCCGGATTCGCGAGGCGTGTTGACGCCGAGCGCGTGACGGAGGATCGTGTTTGCACGTGCCCGTTGTAGGCAGACGCGTGTCCTTTGCACTTGCATAACTCCTCGCACATGTCTGCAAATTGCGAAGAAATTAACGGCCGCGCGCAATATCCTGTATCCGGATGCGAACCGCGCCATCGGTCTCTTTTGTGCGTCAAATTGTAAACATCGATGGACACCGTTGGAGATCAAAGGCCCGGGGAATCTATTCAGAGCCTCGCAGATTGTTATTACTTGATCAGCAGCGATCTCGTCCGAATCAACATGGATAAATTGCGTCATTTAATCGCGCTGACAAATCGGAGCTTCTACTCGTACGATAAGTCGCTGCGTTATTCGACGACCAAATGCAAATGTAATGCGAAGGTTAAGAATGTAACTGTGAATCGTAATAAAAAATGAAAAATTTTTTGTGTCATTTCATTATTTTATATATAGAATACTCTATGTCTCTTACATAAAATATTTAAATTACGTTAATTATTGATGT